CTTTGTCGATCATGGCCTACTAAAAAACATTGTTTGTGGATCATTTTTTTTTTCATCTTCTTTGTCTCATTATGACTAAATTATTTAAAAATTAAATACGTATATAAATAATCATAACTACCTACCTATGATAATGAAAAAAAGTTTAAGTAATTAAAAAAAATATGTATAATTCCTATTTTTTTTATAAAAACTAATTACTAAGATACTACAATTAATATTGAGTTGCATAATATATAAAGACAAAAACAAACATATACTTTCTGTTCACTTATCCTAGCGTCATGAAAAGAAATAATGAAAGAGTGCACCAAAGGATTTGTACAAAGACACTCGCTTCTCGTTCACTCTTTAATAATGTATATAGTATCATGAAGACAAACATACCATTAGGAAAATTCTAATAAATTTGTTGGGATTGTTAAAATAAAGATATATCTAAAACGGAAATAAAAAAAAATTAAGAAATGTAGTTGCGCCAATTATTTTGCACCCGTCTTGTACCTATTACATACTTACATAACTTTAAAGCTCTTTATTGGTGATGTAAAAGAATCAATTTTAGTTTGCGCTTTGGCTACATTGAAAAATCTGATTCTACAATGTTTGTGACACTCCCTGGGCGGGAAAAAGACGCGCAGCTTTTACTGCGCTGACGTTTTCGGGATATAACCTATCACTTGTCATAAATCCGGTTAAAAACTCGCTACCATGCGCAGGCAACCCATATTTCGTAAACAAATATAAACTTTTGTTTACATTTTATCGAAGTAGTTTTTGTAATACATTCACAGCTTAAAACGGAAAATTTGTTATTTTGATAGTGGATTTAGATCAAAAATACCCCAAATACACTTCAGTGTGTGTTTTATCCTTATTATTGCTCGTTTTATTTGAGGACATTGGAATAAATAGAGTACTAAAAGTAATCAAGATAAGAGGGTGTTGTTATAAAAAGAAAATACATTGCCTTCGACTGATTTATGTTTAATATGTTTTCGTGAAGTATTTCCAACATGCTAGTTACTTGAATGGTTGTAAATTGTACGTGTATAAGTGATAAAAACATCTAGTGCTTTGTGCTTCCTTTTTTTTTGTTGGTGTCCTAGCCCAGCATTCCTAGCCAGCAGTAGTAGCAAAAACATTAACATTGTCTACATTCAACCCATTTACATGTACATGATTTATCAGCTAAAAGCAGAATACAATATTTCTCTGCAAAATGTAAACAACGCTACAAGGAAAATTGCTCCATGTATAAATTCAACAATTAAATCAAAATATATTATTTTTAAAGGACTTATATCAACTATTATGTTAATTATAAATATTACAAGTATTTGTAACAAAATAATAGTTGTGTATTAATAAACCTGTTGCTACTCCAAAAAATATATTATTTATTGATTATCAGGTATCAAAAATATATGTACCTATAGGAATTTGTTGAAATGTTCTATTGCTCTTAATCTTTTTAATGGGTTCTTATTTTATCCGTCTATTTTAAGTTGTAAGGATCCATCGCCTCTTAATGTTTTACATTAGAAATAAGACCTGTAATGTCACATTAAATCGTGAATATGAGGTAAAGGATTTGGGAGTTGTCTTTCAGTCTAATTTGAAGTTCAATAAACATTTTTTACACATAACTAAAAAAGCAATAAAAGCATTAGGTTTTTAAATCAGAAATACAAAAAAATTTAGGATTAGCACCAAAATCAGATTATATAATGCCTTAGTAAGACTCCATCTTGAGTATGTTTCACAAATATGGATGCCCTTGGAAGCCACACAAATTGATCATATTGAAAAAGTACAAAAAATATTTTTACGGTACCTTTATGTCATAAAAAATACTTGTACCCTTATACCTAAGATCTCGTATAAAACTATGCTCAATAGTTTTAAGATTAAATCTCTTTTACAAATAAGAAAGCAACAGGCTGTGATATATTTTGTACTCTATTTTAAGTACAAAGATTGTGAATTGATTGACTATATAAATGTTAATGCGGCAAAGATTAATCTAAGAAACCCAAGTAACAAAAAATTATTTGATTTAGATCCAAGTAGTATATCTCCTTTTAACAAGATGATGGCTGATACCAGTTTCTTAGCGAGATCCAAATAGATATCTTTAATGTTAGCCTAAGAAAGTTGAGGACTACTAAATTAAGTTCACTAGATATAAAGGTTTGTTTTGTTTTTGGTCTTAAATTTCTTGTTACTTAACTCTACATACTATTACTATTAATTTTTTTATAGTATCCAATAAATAAATTATACCTCATGGCTGCTTTCAAACAATTCTGTGTGTAGTCATTTAGTTTAAAGTCAATTTTAAATGAGTGGTTTTACAAGAATGTCAAATAGTAATATGCATTGTGTCTATGAATTTGCTGTGTGTAGTAAATGGCCAATATACCTACATAACTTTGATATTTTTATCACAAGTGTAAAAACTACGAAAACCATATACATATAGTTCCCATTTTAAAATAAATTCAAATTAATTCATAATAAAAAATAACGATTTTGGTCTGCCATACTTGAACTCATTCACAAAAACAAGTCACTGATTATATATTTTTAAAAAAACTACACTAAATATGTCTCCGTTACAAATTTTTAAATTTAAAACTACATACTTTCCTATAGATTTTGCAGTACCTAAATAACGTATAGAATAAATTTTTACAATATACTAGAAAAGTTTTAGATTAGAGTAATTCTTAAGAAATAAAGCAATACGTCTATTTTGTTACTCTAACCTTGTGTCTTATATATTTCCCCTGACAAACTAACGTTATATTTTGAACTAAAGTAATTAAACTTTTCACCAAAAAGTAATATTTCACATATATAAAAAAAATTTAAAACGGTTCTGTCCTTCTTACATTTGCGAAGACTGCCCTGATATCTAATCTATTTTCTTCTTCAAAGTAATTAAGTTGTTCAACCGTTGTCTATTAAGATATCTCACATCTCCCTCATACACACGAATTTGAAAAGCAGCAGAACAAAAATTCAACTAACCATGTATACCAAGTCCGTGTAAAGAAAACTTTTCATATCCCGAAAACGTCAAGTGTCAACTAAAATTTCTACTTTTAAAGATCAAACGTGCCGCCTCAGAGTGCCAATACTGATTGGTATATATACTGGGGTTTGTTATTAACTTAATTATGTTCATTATACGGTTCTCTTCTCCTACAGAATAAATGAAGAAAATGGTCGTCATATTCATTCAAATAATTATTTTCAAATAGAAAAATACTAAAATTTCAATAAAATTCGGTTCTGACGTATTTTTTTTCCTCGATAATAGTGCATGTTTTTATTTTTTTTTTTTTTGACCTCCACGATTTTTATATTGAAGAGTGCAAAGTTATCTCTCTCATTACCATCAGAACAAGTTAATAGCTCCAGATAATTTAAACATTAACATGTTTTTTTAATATTTTAGCAACAAAACCAGATAATATGTGGCCACCACATTTTCGGAAGCGGTTTTTTTTATTCCTCGAAAATCATCATCATCAACGAATATGGCATCGATGTCCATATCATATTTTTTTAGCAATCCATTGACGTCGACAGTAATTGGTGGTATTATTCACTTATTTGAGAAGGTTGACAAAATGTGTCCAGAATGTTATATTGTATTGCTCTTTTTTGCAGACTAAAAACAGTATTGACTAACTCACGGCTACAATCTCCCCAAAATGCAATTCCATATATCTTAAATGGGAGCGTAATATACACCTTTCTGTTTAATATGGAAACGTTTTAAATAAACAGCATTTAAAATGGCTATAAAATAGAGGTGTAATTTTAATTTTAACAATGAAATAAGCGAATTTATATTACTTACAACAAAGACAAAGTATTTCATTTTTAACTGTTCATAACTTCCACAACATATTTTTTTTGTGAGATAATGGACTAAGAAATTCTAGACATTCACTAAGAAATTTCCTAAATCTTTTACTCGTTTTATTTTTCGACGCGACTAACAATAGTAGACTAAAAACTTCTACATTAAGCGTAAGCGCAAAGTTTCATACATGTGGTAACGGAAAAAGCTTTCACATGAAAAGTCGGAAAATATTACGAATTTTACACTAGTGAAAACTTCATGTAAGTAAGTAACTTGGTATTATCATGGAAATTTCACCTACTGTTTCTTAAAATTCCATAGAGAATTTGTATTTCACTAAAAAGTTTCAAAAGTATAAAAAAGGGAATTCAACAGAGCTCTTTGGCTATTCTACTCATGTAACACGGGAAGATTTAAACTAAAAGAAAATGATAATGAAAAAATGCGAACATTATAGTGCAGCGCTTTACTTGCAAAAATCAACTTACTTTATTTATTTAATGGTAGCCCAGACATTGCAGCACTTTTACCTTACAAATTGTGTGGTAGAAGATTTTATGGGTGATCACTTGTAATTTTAAGTGTCGAGACATGTTTGATATCAAATTTTCAACAAAAGCTTGCGGACTATTCTCCCATTCCTTAATAAATGTCTCTATGAGTTGGTTGTCATTAGCAACGACTTCAAATCTCTTTTTTTTTAGTAAATCCTATAAATACTTTATAAGATTCATGTATATCTGAAAGGTTAGGTAGCCACTCTAATAAAGGGATATTTACATCATTTAGGTAGCCGATAACTTGTCTAGCCACGTTGTCCTGCATGAATAAAAAATTAGGTTCAACAAATGGAGCAAAAGTCATTACATGTTCGACAATAATGTTATTCTAAGTAATATTGGGCATTCATAGACCTCTATAGGAACCAACTTTGTACGAGCATCGAAGCAAATTGCCACCCCCCCCCCAAATCATTTTAGAACACCAAAAAATATTTTAGGAGATATACTGCAGCTGGCAAACCTCTCTCCTCACCTTCGCCAGACACGCTGAAGCAAACTTTTATATACCTTCTTCAGAATTAACTTAACTTATATATAATAAATTATTAAATTATTACCATTTGGCCATCACTGCTGTCTTCTGAAGTCGTATTTTCTGAGTCCGTACTAGAGCTCGTACTATCATCACTTCCTTCTTCATCCTCACTGTTACTGCCTCCTTCATCGTTATTTACTGTAAATTTGTAAAGTTTATAAACATTAATATTTTCAAATAAATATTCTAATTCCTATAAACTATGTGATAAATCCATGGGCGCTGCCAGAATTGTTTCCAGAGGGTAAAAGTACAAATTTGTAAATCTAACCTTAAAAATTAACGACGCTACATGCCCCTTTGATTTAATAGATAAGAAATCTGGACCATAATTATCGATTCAGCTTATTCACAATAACTGATTTACATAAAAATAAAAGTTTAAGGCATTATTTTTGCAAACTTGGGAAGGACTTGTAATTCCCTTATGAAGTATAACAGACACAGCATTAACTATCCGTCTATTCTCTAATGAAAAAGTTTCAACATGGCTGGATTTTCCAAAGAAAAAAGCAACTAATTTTTTCATCAATAATTTCACGCATAGCATCGATAGGGGAAACATGCCTATGATGGCATACTTTTTTTTTGTGTCATCGGCTTCAACTACCAGGGCTATTTCGCCTCGTGTTCTGTGTAGGCTTTGTTACTGTTTCCCAGCGCCACTTTAGGAATAGCACTGTTAATTAGAACCCAACAGTGAATGGTCGAGTGGGGAATCCTACCAAGGCATCAGAATTAATTTCAAATAATTAAATTAAATGAAAAAATCCCGGCCAACGGTGGGATTCGAACCCGGGATCCTTGGATCCACAGGCAGAGGCTCTACTACTGAGCCACCATACTTAACTTTAAATTCATTTTGAGATATTTTCTCGGGGTTAATGAAGTACAAAGAAAGATAATTTTAATAAACATTTACGTAAATATTGAGTAGGTCAACAGATTTGACATACAATTCATAATGTGTGCCATCATAGGCAAGCAACTTCTATTGATGGCACACCCTACATTTTTTTTTGTTACTGTCGTATTTTTATTAAAGTAAGTTAAAGAACATCTTACAAAAAATCAATAAACGGATAAATCAAAAATAGAAAAACCAAAAAATACAAATGTCACCCACAAAGTTCGCAAACGAATTTTTTTACTCGTCTATCGACTCCTGCACACTCACTGTGACACCATGAGCGATACTTTTGACAAGAAATCCACGCTTATTTTGATTGAATACAAATCATTGCAATATAAACAGCCAACATCTTCTTCATAGTTATCAAAGTCTTGAATCTCATCGTTGTCACTTCCATGGTCTATTTGTTATTCAACCAGAATTTTCCTCTTTGGTTTTCTGGATAGTTTTTCCCTTTCCTTTCTTGCTTTTGCATCTGCGTCCCTTTTCAATTCATCAAAGTCGGGTGTTGAATTTATGTCCTTTTTTGTTAAGGTTTCTTATTTTTTTTTTTTTTTATATTTCTGGCGCAGCTTGAGGTAATGAAGACAAATCCAGAATTGAAAATTTGCGTTTCGTAGGTGACGAAATACTCGGTACCGCAGATTCTGGTTTTCCACAGGATATTGGTGTTGAAGATTCCACTTCTATACGAGTAGATACTGATTTCACTTCAGTCGATTAATTTACATTAATCCTTTGTTTTCTTGAAAAATCTTTCTCTCTTTCCGGAAAAGCTTCTTTTTGTGCATATTCTGCGGTAGGACGGTCCCTTTTAAGCGTTCAACAGTAGTCGGCCATCATTTTGATATCCCAGCGCCCTTGATATCGCCGTTCCATTTCTTTGATGTCCTGGTGAAAGCGCTGCCCTTGCTCTTCACTGATATCGCCAAGATTATCCGGAAAATAGTCAAGATGAGCATGTAGAAAATGACTTTTTAAGCTCATGTTACAGCCTAACTTTCTAAATTTGTCCAACATGTTTTCAACAATACTTTCAAATTCAGGGTCTTTGTAGTTTCCTAGAAACTTATTTATAACTTGTTTAAAAGCTGTCCATACTTCTTTTTCGTCTTCCTTCATAAGCGTCTCATTTCATTAGTTTTCATCAACCTTCTTATTTGTAGCCCAACAAAGAAGCCTTCTTTTAATTTAGCTTCAAAGAGACCCGGAAATGTTTCACACAATTACTTAAAGCAACCACCATTTTTGTCTAGAGCTTTGACAAATTGTTTCATCAGCCCCAATTTTATATGTAGAGGGGGTAATATAATTTTCTCGGGATCAGCTAGGCTTTCCCGAATTACGTGTTTATAGGAAACATGGGTATTTCGTATATCCGGATTGTTGACCTAAAAGCAACCCTAAAATTTTATGGTCACCACATAGAATCCAGTTATGTTGTCTGTAGTTTATTCTTAAAAGCAGTACCTCAAGATTTTGGTAATTTTCTTTTAGCTGAATAGAATTACCAACAGGAACAGATGCATATAAATTGCCATTATGAAGTAGAACAGCTTTAAGACTTCTCTTTGAAGAGTCTATAAAAAGTCTCCACTCGGCAGGATTGTATTCAGGAGCACCTAGGTGTATAACCAAGTCAGATACATTTTGACAATATACAAGTGAACCAGCTGCGGCAAAGTAATTGACAAATTCAGCCTCACGATTTCTATACCAATAAAATGTAGTACTTGGGGCAAGTATTTTTTTTTTTCTTTAAGCCTTGATCCTAAAACCTCAGAGAGGTCTTTTGGAAGTGCCAAATCCCTGACTAAATTATTCAGTTCTACTTGAGAAAATAGCTGCGGTTCACGGGTTCCTGAAGTAGATGGCTCAAAAATGTCAATTTCTGAATCTGTTGAAGATTCTGATTCGATAGACTGTAATATTTTAGGTGGAACAGGTACAGGTATATCAGCGTCATGTGGAACTGGTCTTATTGCAGACGAAAGATTAGGATAGTTAATATACTTTAGAGATTTTGTGTTAAGACCTTTAATATCACAAAATCAAAAATAGCAGTCGTCAATGTGATTTTTAGGTTCTCTCCAGACCATTGGTATTCCAAACGGTACGGCTTTTCTTGTTCCTTTAAACCAATGCCTCAAGGCTTCTTCGCAAATCTTGCAGATAACATGTGGCGCCCAAGGTTTATCTTGATCTCCAAGTCTGACTTTAAAATATGCAAAATATGCATTTTTTACGAAATCGGTAATGTTTCTTTTAAACTTCTTCACTATAAAGTGTCCACAAATATAACAAAGGTCATCAGGCCTATTTTTACAACACCTATTAGACATTTTTTTAATAGAAAGTGCACAACGAAACACCGTTAGAATTCGATAGACAACGCCTTTCTCAATACCACGGGGATACTAAATATATCGCCCTCTTTCCTGAATAAATCGAGTCTCGGGGAATCCCCAACAATATTCTAGTAAGTACCGGTAAAACCTCCTACAAATGCGCAAACTAAAACGAGGTTTTAACTAGGCCTCGGAATTGTATTCGGATAATTCGATAATTCGAATACTAAAAATTCGATATTTTTAGATCGAAATTATTCGAATAGTCCAATATTCGAATAGTCGAATAGTCGAATAGTCGAATATTCGAATAGTCGAATAGTCGAATATTCGAATAGTCGAATATTCGAATAGTTGAATATTCGAATACTCAATATTCGAATATTCGACTAATTGAACCAGGTATTAGATACTCGAATATTTGACTATTCGAATACTTAAATATCGGAATACTGTAAATGTTCAAATATTCGGATATATATTTTGAATTAATTTATATACCTAATTTAAATGTTTCTTTTTTATCTATTGCTTAAAAATAAAGGTAGAAGAAAAATCACTAACAAAATTCTGACTTGGGATTCGGGACTAATACGTTATGGCAACAATGTATTTATTTATTTATTTCCTTGTAGTGGTGGAGTTTTATTTGGTAAATGAGGGAAACCCCAACGTTGTTTCACATTCGCACTTTTCACACGCTTGTTTATGTTTGTTAAGTTATAACTTACTAGTTATTTTATTCATATTAGTGAGTGTATGTCTGTCAGTCAACGTTTGCCCGATACAGATGTTAAATATGAGTTCAGAACGCAGTAAGATTTGGCTTTACTTCGATAAAAAAGAAAATCGTGTGTAGTGTAAATTATGTACTTACAATGTCATACACAGAAGTAATACCAGCAATTTGTGGAATCAATTAAGAACTAAGCATCATACCAAAACAAACAAAATAATAGTATACTCGAAAATTCGAATATTCGAATACTCGAATATTTGAATACTCGTATGATCGAATATTCGAATAGTCGAGTATTGGAATAATCGAATGTACGAATAGTCGAATACTCGAATATTCGAATATTCGAATAGTCGAATACTCGAAATTCGAATAGTCGAATACTCGAATATTCGAATACTTAGAAATATTCGAATAGTGAATAATTTGGGTATTTGAATAAAGTTTCAAACGAATATTCAAATACAAAAATAAGGAATTCAAATTAATTTGTTTGTGATGTTCAGGGATAATACCCTTGATACTAGTTTACAAAACAAATTTACGTGATAGAATAAAAAGGGGGTTATTTTAGCTATATGAAGTTGTAAATAGGTGAAAAAAAAATAAAATTGCTAGATCATAAAATTTTCGCAGGCCTGTGAATAGATTGTGATGCTACTTCATCCTCAAATAACGAAGTTTTTCCACACATTACTGCGAAAATTACGAATTCATTTCTATTGAAACTGTCAACTTAATTATAGAACAATTGAAGAACGCTGGCAATACAAGTAGTACTTCATTTCTCTAATTTTAGTGCTTTATGCGACTCCTCTTTTTACATGCCCTTAGCGGCGCCCATGACTATATTACTCATCATCAACTTTAATGCATCCCAAAATGTTTATACCTCATACAATGCCAACTCTATTAAACAATAAATCATTCTCTTGACATTCTAAACCTACTGCATTTAAATTCATGCATTTTAACGTGCATATTAATTTCGGTAAAATCTGGAACCCTCAACGCTGCGTAATTTAGGCTATTCCCAAACATTTAAATGCATATAAATTGTGAGTTATAATCTGTTACTTACGTGGCTGGAGCTTTTCTAGAATGAGGGGATAAAATTCCTTCGCCGTGCTATTGTCCGGTTCGTATTGCAGAACTGTATATGAAAATAAAGAGCCGGTATTAGAAGGAATATTGTGTTTCTATATTATATAATTTCAGAATAATTGTAAGACATGTTCACGAAGAATTGCTGCATGAACGCGTATTGGATAAAGCTCTTACTACCGAAGCACAGATTACCCCAGATGCGAAACCCGGCATGACCTTGAAAGTTTAAATGAGTATGGCATACGTGTTGCCAATTTTATATTATTTTCAATAATTCTGACTAAATATTGCTGCCTTGTGTAACGAAGTGACTAAATTTTAGACCTCCCCTCCACAAACCCATATTGTTTAGAAGATAATAATTTGTATTTGTTCATAAAATTAAACAATCTGACTTTAGTTATTTTTTCTATTATTTTACTTATACTGTAGAGGATCGATATGGGTCTGTAGTTTGACATTTCTATCTTATCCCCAGCTTTATATAGTGGTTTTATAACTGCATTTTTTAGAGAATTAGGAAATATTCTAGTAGTAAAAATTTTATTTGCTATATAAGTCAGTGGATTTTTTTTAATAATGTACACATCTCTTATAAACCTCAGAAGGAATTTGGTCTAGTTCAGGCGCTTTGTTTGGTTTTAAATCTTTTATAATTTTAATCACCTCCTGTTCTTCCACAGGTTCTAAATATATTGAGTTAGCTATTCTTCTTTCATTGAATTTCCTAGATGACTTTTTAATTTTTTCTGCAAGAATGCTACCTACCTGTATAAAATATCTGTTAAATTCATTTGCAATTTTTGTTTTGTTTGTTATATTTATGTGGTTCTGTTTTATTTCACATATCTTCTGTGTTTTAACCATGATTTTGAATATTTTTTACAACTTGCCACATATGTCTGAGGAATTCTTATTTTTACTAATTTCATTTTTATAGTAGTCAGTTGTGGCAATTTTTATTAGATCATTTAGTTGGTTTCTGTATATTTTAAATTCTTCTAAGGCTTGTGTATTGTTTGGTTGTTATTTAACTGTTTTATACAGGGTGTCTGTAAAAGGTCTTTACAAAAACATACCACATATTTCTTAGACCAAAATAAGTCGATTTAAGTAAAATTTCCTTTGCTCCAGAGGGTCTTGAAGTTACAATTTTTAAATCGTTTTTCCCATATAAATTTAAAACGGCATATGCGATTTTGCTGAAATTTGGTATATTGGTAGAGTTTTACGGGACAAAAAAATGGTATTAAAATTTTGTCCGATAATAATACATAGGCGTGGAACTTGATTTTTAAATAATTGCACCTTTAAAAATTCTACGTCAATGGAAGAAAAGGAGTTTGAGTATGAAATTTTGATTGCGCAACTCATTTATTTTAAAAAAAGTACTCTTGATAAGACTCGATTACTCTCATGGTTTTGACGAAATTTGCATTTTAGTAATTTTAGAACATAAACAATAATTATTAAAATATAAACTTTGTCAAAACCATGAGAGTAAATCGAGTGTTATCAAGGGTACTTTTTTGTAGTAAATGAGTACCCAATCCAAATTTCATACTCAAACCCCTTTTCTGCCATTGGCGTAGAATTTTTAAAGGTGCAATTATTTAAAAACTCAAGTTCTACGCCTATGTATTATTATCGGACAAAATTTTATACGATGAAAAACATAAAAATGTACTTTTTTTCTTCTTCAACACCTCTAATCGAGACTTTTAACAAAAATACTCGATTCTTGCCATGTGCGATTTTTTGAGGAATATTAATTATTTGCCTGCAATACGTATACAAAAACATTTATTGTTGGTTGCCATAGTTTCATCTAAATAAAAATATTGTCAAGTTTTAACACCTAATCTCTTGTTAACGATTGAAAGTATTCTATCTGACTCAATAATTAAAAAAACAAATGGGTGGTTCATTAATATGGCCGTACAATATACCAATGCAGAATATACCGATATGTTACTGACATTAGGATTTTGTGAAGGAAATGCTCGAGAGTGTCAGGGTGTACTCTGAAAGGTTTCCAAATCGTCGTGCACCTAGCCACCCAACTTTTGCTGCTGTTGAGAGACATCTTCGGGAGACCGGTTCCTTTGCTCCCAACACTGTTGATAATGGAAGAGAACGTTTTGTAAGGATTCGTGAAGTTGAAGAAGACATTTTAGAACGTGTTGAAGAAGATCCAGAATTAAGCACCAGACGAATTGGAGGGGAACTAGGAGTAAGTAAAGATGTCGTTCATAAAGTGCTTAGAGAACAATTGCTATATCCATACCATAAGAAGCCAGTACAAGAATTATTAGTCCATGATCCTCAAATTCGTTTGGGTTTTTGTCGATTTGTTAATATGCAAAGAGAAAGAGATCCAAACTTTGTCAAGAAGGTTCTCTTTACCGATGAAGCGGGTTTTTCAAGAAGAGGTATAACTAATACCCATAATGAACAAGTTTATACCGTTGAAAATCCGCATGCAATAATGGTAAACCATTTTCAGCACGAATTCAAAATTAATGTGTGGGTTGGAATAATTGGTAATTTCATTGTTGGTCCTGTCATACTTCCACGAAGATTAACTGGAGAAAATTATTTGTATTTTCTACAAAATACGTTGCCAGAATTGATAGAAGATTTACCTCTCCAACTTCGGAGAGATATGTGGTTTATGCAAGATGGAGCTCCGCCACATTTTTCTTTAAACGTTATAAACCACTTGAATGAACAATATCCACACAAATTGATAGGTAGAGGTAATGACGCACCTGCAAACTGGCCACCACGTTCCCCAGACCTAACACCGATGGATTACTTTTCATGGGGACATCTGAAATCCACAGTTTACCGGGAACCTGTAAAAAATGAGGAACAACTCTGGCAACGTATTCAAGATGCAATAAACAATCTTATAGGTGATGAAGAAGTTATGGAAAGGATACATTTTAATTTTTTTCGACGTATAAATCTTTGTATGCGTGAAAATGGTGAACATTTTGAACAATTTTTGTAAAATCTCTATTTTGATTATGTTTTAAATAAATATTTTTGTGAAACCTATACACTCTAAATTATTAAAACAGAAATTTAGCCATGAGAGTAATCGAGTCTTATCAAAAGTATCTTTTTTAAAGTATATGAGTTGCGTAATCTAAATTTCATACTCAAACTCCTTTTCTGCCATTGGCGTAGAATTTTTAAAGGTGCAATTATTTAAAAAATCAAGTTCTACGCCTATGTATTATTATCGGACAAAATTTTAATACCATTTTTTTGCCACATAAAACTCTACCAATATATTAAATTTCAGCAAAATCGCATATGCCGTTTTAAATTTATATGGGAAAAACGATTTAAAAATTGTAACTTCAAGGCCCTTGGAGCCCAAACGAAGCAACTTTGTATAAAGGTAATTTTACTTAAATAGACTTATTTTGGTCTAAGGAATATGTGGTATGTTTTTGTAAAGACCTTTTACAGACACCCTGTATAAAGATAGATGTTACTAAACCATGTGTAATCCAAGGATTACGCTTGAAATAAGAACGGTTGATCTTTATTACCCGGCTGCTTGAGTATATATAATATTTTAATTTAGTAATAAAAATCTGATGTGTCCAACACATGACTTTCCTATCTAGTTATATAAATGTTTAGAGGATAAACTAAATATATACATTGTCCACATACATATTCATGGAAAACGAAAATACTGAAAAATTTTAATTTCCTACAATTTTTTCATTACGGTCCATTTTAGAAAAATCATGTATAAACAAAAATTATAGAGATCGATATCGCAAACAACTTTTATTTCAAAAACTTTCATAATAAAAATCAGAATTTTGCACATTTTGTCAAATTTCTCGAATACGGACCATTTCAGGAAATTTTTACATAAAACAAAAATTACAGATAATATTATTAGAAGTAACTTTTATTTGAACAATTTTCCTCTCCAAACATAAATAACAGATATATTTCATAAAATATAAAAACGGCCTCCCATAAAGTACCCCCCCAGATGTTCCGACTTTGTCCAAAATCTAATCATTTCACGTCAGGCCGAAATAAACCTTAAGTTTAAAATTTAATGTTTTTTTCTTTATCCGTTTTTGAGTTTTCTTCAAAATTCGAAATTTACACATTTTCTCAAATATCTCGAATACGGTCCATTTTAGAGAAATTATGTAGAGAATAAAAATTATAGAGAATTATATTACAAACAACTTTTATTTGAACAATTTTAATAAAAAAATATTTTTTTTACATTTTGTCAAATTTCTCGAATACGGACCATTTTAGGAAAATTTTGTATAGAACAAAAATTATAGATACTACTATTAGAAGTAACTTTTATTTAAAGAATTTTCTTCTCCAAACGTAAATAACAGATATATTCCATAAAATATAAAAATGACCACCTATAAAGTACCCCCCCAAATGTTCCGACTCTGCCCAAAATCTAATCAGCTCATTAGACGCTGAAACAAAGCTTAAGTTTAAAATTTGGTGTTTTTCTGTGTATCGGTTCATGAGTTATGCGTTATACAGACACACACACACACACACACACACACACAGACACACAGACACACACACACACACACACACACACACACACACACACACACACACACACACACACACACACACACACACACACACACACACACACACACACACAGACATCATCGCGAAAATAGTCAAAACGGATTCAGGGGACCTCAAAACGTAAAAATCCGTCGAAAACTCGAGGTCGAAAAAAATCATGATTCCTATACTTTCCTTATATCTGTATACAGATAGGAAAGTAAAAATATCTGTCATTTTATTAACATATATGGAAGAATACATATCTACCCAATTTTCCTGTGATAATATTTTATGTAATGAATTGTAATCACATATTACTTTATGATATTTGTTTTGACTTGAATCTTTCAGATTTGATGGATACTGGTACTGTAAAATTTGAGAGAAGTGATCAGTAATTGAGGACCAGAGTACTATGGGTACTATATTTTCTAAGGATTCGCTTGT